TAAATTTATTATTATTATTATTATTATTATTATTATTATTATTATTATTATTATTATTATTATTATTATTATTATTATTATTATATATATGCAGATTATTTCAACCATTCTTTCTTGGTCTATTAATCCGTTACTATACACCACGAGAACATACCTATGTTTCAGTAAATGATGATCCACTATATAAGAAGCAAAATAATTCTGATATGCAAGTTCGCAAAAATAAGAATTTTGAAAGATCATTAAATCCCCTTTTTACATTTTTTTCCTTATTAACCATCTAAATTACTTCTTATTACCCTATCTTGATATTTGGTTGAAATTTCATTTGTTTTTTTTTTTTGCATGTTTATTTAATTTAAAACTTTTGATTTGCATAATACATACTCTTTCATTTCTATTATTCATTCTTATTTGTTTATTTACATTGTCATTGATTTAAAACATTTTCAAGATTTATAGATGAGAATATATTATTTTTAAATTTACATATACAATTAAAGCGACATTTAATATTGTTTTATTAATATAATAATAAAATGTTATTTTAATTATTATCGCTTTAAGCATGTTAACAAAAAATATCTATAATTAATAAATATTGTAATATACATTTTGTCTTTTTTTTATTATATAGGGTGCTACAACCATTATTCCTTGGCTATTTACTGCGATATTATAATACTACAGAAGTATCAAAAAATGAAGCATATTTATATGCTCTTGGAATAATATTGTGTTCTGCTATTAATATATTTGTTGTACACCCATACATGATGGCTATTTTACATATGGGTATGAAAATGAGAGTAGCTTGCTGTTCCTTAATATATAGAAAAGCATTAAGATTATCAAGAACTGCATTAGGAAACACAACGATTGGACAAGCTGTTAATCTTTTATCAAATGATGTAAATAGATTTGATGTCGCTATCATATTTTTACACTACTTATGGATTGCGCCACTTGAAACTATAATTATTACCTACTTCATGTTCGCTGAAGTACAAATAGCTGCTATTATTGGTGTCGCAACATTGTTAATGTTTATACCACTTCAAGGTAAAAGCATATTTTATTTTAGTTTAACTAATAATAGTTATATAGATATATATATATATACATATATATATATATCTAGATAAATATATATATATATATATAAATAATTTATCTGAATCCTTTCATTTAGGATATTTGGGTAAGAAGTCATCGGAATTAAGATTGAGAACAGCTATAAGAACAGATGAAAGAGTTAGATTAACAAACGAGATTATAACTGGAATTCAAGCGATCAAAATGTATACATGGGAAAAACCATTCAGTGATTTAATAGAGAAAGCTAGAAAGTAAAACAAAATAATATTATTATTAATTTTATAAATGTTATATATTTAAACCTTTTAACTACATTAAAAATATTTCTTGATTAATAGGAAAGAAATCAATGTTATCCGTTCAACGTCATACATCCGAGGTGTTACCATGTCATTCATTATTTTCACTACAAGAATGTGTTTGTTTATCACTATATTGGCCTACGTCTTATTAGATGGAAAGATAACAGCTGAAAAAGTTTTTATATTGACAGCATATTATAATATTTTACGACAAACTATGACAGTTTTCTTCCCACAAGGTAAGATTAAAACTATTCTTAGCTGTTGACAAATAATTTATGAAATAATTTATATATTTATGTATTAGGTATTACCCAAGTAGCAGAAGCTATGGTATCTATAAGAAGATTACAGAAATTTATGATGTATGAGGAAGTGACATCGAAAAAAAAAGTAGATAAGAATAAGCATATTGTAAAACAAAAGAATAAAAACAAAACTAATTTAAACAATGAAGTAAATGATGATGTAATAAATAGGAGGAATAGTTCTACCGAACAACCAAAATTAGATAACGAGGATCTTATAAAATTAGAACATGTTTCTGCTAAATGGTTTTCATCTGAAAACGAATATACATTGCAGGATATTAATATACGTGCTCGTCCAGGTGAACTTATAGCAATAGTTGGACAAGTTGGTTCAGGAAAAAGCAGTTTGTTAAATGTTATCTTAAAGGAATTGAAAGTATGCTCCGGTAATTTACAAGTATGTCAATTTATTTATAATAATAAATTATTAACATATGACTATTGATTTAAATGTGATTAAAATTAAATTGTTTCATTATTTTTCATTTACAGGTTAATGGAAGTATCTCTTACGCTAGTCAAGAACCATGGTTATTTGCTGGTTCGGTTAGACAAAATATTTTATTTGGTCAAGCGATGGATCAAGTTCGTTACAATAATGTTATTAAAGTATGTCAATTAAAAAGGGATTTTACATTGTTACCTTATGGCGATAAGACAATAGTAGGTGAACGAGGTATAAGTTTGTCCGGCGGTCAACGTGCTAGGTCAGTATATTTTAATTTAATAATTATTTTAAAAATATATTATAAATGTTACAATAAATCAAAAAACCAAAAAACAAACAAAAAATAGGATAAATTTAGCAAGAGCGGTTTATGCAGAATCGGATATTTACTTGCTGGATGATCCATTAAGCGCCGTAGATGCTCACGTTGGTAAACATATGTTTGAGGAGTGCGTTGTTAAATACTTAAAAGGAAAAACCAGAGTACTTGTTACTCATCAATTACAATATTTGCACAATGTCGGTAGAATTATTGTATTGAAGGATGGCGTGATTCAGGCGGAAGGGTAAGGATCATTTAAAGATATTCTTTTTTCTTTCTTTTTTTATTTTTGCAAAATATCAATATAACGTAAATGTTCCTTTAATAAGGACGTACGACGAGTTGGGCTCAAAAGGAGTCGATTTTGGACATTTGTTGGAAACTCCAACGAACGACGAGGAACAATCATCATCTACGCCCGCAAGTAGAAGCAATTCTCGTAATCCAAGTATCACTTCGTTGAGTTCTTATAAGACGAATGACACCAGCAAACAACCAGAACCAGAAGAGGTAATTAATAATATATTTAACCTCACGGTAACCCATTTATTTATTATTTTTATTATTATTATCTTACATTACTTTTTTTTCTTTTTTTTTTTTTTTTATTTATTTATTTGTTTATTTATTTATTCTCAGGTAGCCGAAATGCGAACTAAAGGTAGTGTTTCTGGAAAAGTTTACGCTGGCTATTTCTTAGCCGGTGGTAATTGGTGTATAGTTGCATTAGTATTTGGATTTTGTGTAATGGCACAATCGGCTGCAAGCGGAGGTGATTTCTTTATATCTAAATGGGTCAATATGGAAGAGACATCGGTAAGTACAAACGTGATTTTTTTTTTTTTTTTTTTTTAAAATCATATCGTCGTACCTAATCTTAACGTTGTAATCTTATCAATAGATTGAAGTAACGAAAGACGGTGCTACACATTTAGATTGGAAAGGACCGATCGAACGAGAAACTTGTATTTATATATACAGTGCTTTTACTGTATTTACCATAGCAATAACTCTCGTACGTTCGTTATCATTTTTTAATATGTGTATGCGAGCGTCAACTACGTTACACGACAAAATGTTCCGTTGTATCAGTAATGCAAAAATGTTATTTTTCAATACTAATAACTCTGGTCGAGTTCTCAATCGATTTTCAAAGGATATGGGAGCCGTAGATGAACTTTTACCAATAGCATTGATCGATTGCATACAAATTGGTTTAGCATTACTCGGAATTATAACAGTCGTTGCCATTGCTAATCCATGGTTAATGATACCGACTGTTTTAATTGGATTGATATTTTATTATCTACGAGTCTTCTATATTGCAACAAGTCGGAGCGTTAAACGTCTCGAAGGAATCAGTGAGTACCTCAAATACAATAATTAACTACGATAAAAAACTACTATGATTAAAAAAAAAAAAAAAAAAAAAAAAAATCAGTATTCTCATATTTTCGATTCGATTTCGAAAAATGCATGATATATTCGATCATGTCGTGTTCTCAAATATAGATATTTTAAATATATTTTAATAAGATAAATTCGTTAATAAATTAATTGGAGAGAACAAATGAGTATAACCATAAATGGTCATCAGCCCGTTCACCGGTGTTTGGACACCTGAACGCAACGCTACAGGGTTTACCAACGATACGATCCTTCGAAGCCGGTGAAATCCTTATTAAGGAGTTCGACAACCATCAGGATTTGCATTCCTCGGCTTGGTTTATATTCATTGCCTCCTCTCGTGCCTTTGGATTTTGGTTAGATGTCTTCTGCCTAGTGTACATAGCTTTGGTTACTCTGAGCTTTCTCATTATGTATGATGATGCTGCTGGATCGATGAAAGGTGGTGACGTTGGTCTGGCGATTACTCAAAGTATTGGTTTGACCGGTATGTTCCAATGGGGTATGCGACAGAGTACAGAATTGGAAAATCAAATGACATCGGTCGAACGTATACTCGAGTACAGGTATATCCTAAATCTTTAAATATTTCCCATAAATGTAGTTTACGTTAAATATTAAAATATTTTCTTTTTTTTTTTTTCTTATTTTTTTTTTTTTTTTTTTTTTTTTTTTCGACAGAATTTAAATGTTCAGATATTAATTATCAAAGTTTTACTTATTGAGTATCGTCGGATGAACGATATCGAATTTTATTCAAAAAAATTTAACATGAGAATTAATGTTTTTTTTTCTTTTTATTCTTTTTTAATTTTTTTTTTTTTTTTCGATCACTACCTCCTTCCTCAAATATTTCCTATTGAAATATTGAATATTATTGGTTTGTAAGTAACGAAAGATTTATCATTTTTAAAAGCTAATTGCGATATTGTAAAAAGTTTTTGAGAAGTTCGTATTTTTTAGATAATATTTTTAAAAATGCCCGTAAAAAATAAATTTATAAATAATGAATTTATAAATCAATATCGAATATATTTGATCTTATTCGTTTGTTAAAGGATAATATATCTTTGTATTATTATATATGAAATTGAAAGGGAGAATTAATTTTT